TTTTTTTTTTTTTTTTTTTTTTTTTTGTGTGCATATTATTCTCTGAGATCTCCAATTTAGAAGCCTGGAAGATCTCATTTTTAGATTGTTTGACTTCTAGTGTAGTTTGAGTCTTGGCAGGTTTGATTGTCAAATTTTAAGTCTTTCTGGAAATCTCTCATCACAGTTCATGGCTTTAGAACCCTGTAAACAGTTTGGTTTGTTATGCTGAGATATCATTGTCATAATTGAAGTTAAAATAAGGTCTTCCATTTAGTCTCATTCTTATGACCATTGCCAATGAGTAGGTTCCTATACAATTCTTAAGGAAGAAGGTGGACCAGCTTCTGTAACACTCGGTAGTACAATATAGCTTTCATGTGTTTTATTATGTCCCACAGACTTTGTTTTGAAGTGGTTAATGATTTTACTTAATTAATTAATGAATTTTGCAATGATGCAATGATTCCTTTTGATGATTAATTATTTTGGCCAATAATTTTTGAGGTTTTGGTGGATGTCACCATGAGATAATTTTCTGTTGTGTTGAAATGGATTCCTGTTCTGTCAAAAGATATATACTGAGTATAGTGGTCACATCCTTGTTCTTTCCTTTTTCTGACTCTTTAGATGTAAAGCATGCATCATTTTGCATTATCTTCTTTTTATCAATGAAGAATGATGCTGCAATGCAAATTTTCCCATCGGAGTGAAGAAATTCTTTATTGAACTTGAAGTCTCAGTCTTGTGGTATCTCTTTCCTTGTATTCTTTCTCATTGTTATTAACATTCCTTTTAACTGTAGTTAGTGTTAACTTTGCTAAGAATTATATAACATTTGGTAAACTAGTGATCCTGCTGTTTGTTGACAGCAATTGACTTTTCAGTTGCGTGCTTGACCCAGGTGAAACTAGAGCTTCTTTTTTCCAGTTTTAGTTTTGGAGTTGAAACAAGATACAGTAAAACTGGGTCTATCTATTGTTGACTGCAGTTAGTTTTAAGGATTTGGCTCTATGCTCTCTCTTATGTTTGTGATACTTGACAGTGTTTAACAATAGATCTTTATGCCATTAGGGACAAAGAAATATTGCTTGTGCTATAAGTCAATTAGTTCTTTTAAGTCAAACTCTGTACAAGGCTGAGCAATTCTCTCAACTTGTGTATATTGAACTTACCAAGTCAGTATGATGGATGTTTTTGTTTTTAGACAAGTTTCGCGGTCACCACATAGCAAGCATTCTCAGCGCAGGCATTCTCCTTACTCTTCTCTTGATACTACTAGCACCAGGTATGTTAGAATGCGGTCAATAAAATTAGATTGTGATAATGTTTTTGAGGCATTCTCACCCATTATCATAACCAAATGCAACTCAGGTGAAAGGATGTAGTTTCTAAGCCTTTTACTTTCCAAGTTATCAAGTTTAACTTATTGTAATTATTTGGCAGGGGAAGGAGGTCAAGATCCAGATCACCTGCACGTCGACAGAGATGATTAGATCAAAGAATATCTCACAAGTTGCTATGGTAATTGGAGCAAATACATTTTCTTGTTGGAGGTACCTTGACCTTCAAATTGGAGAGACTACTGCAAATCTGCTCAACACTGCAGGGTGGAGGCAGTTGATGAATGTACTTAATTACTCCGTTGCAGAGTGGATGAATGCCTAGCAGAAATTTAATGGTCTCATGCAATTACATTTTGGGATGATGGCATGCAGCATTATATTGAATGCCTTTGAAGATGTTCAAATAGTACCCGCATCTCAGTATATTTTTCCTCCCTAGTTATGATCCATTCTCAGCTTTTACAGCTGGAGGCCTGTAGTTTCTGTGGTCACTATGTAACAATACAGTGCAGTAGCGAGCCAAAAAAGTGCCTACCATCTTTCCGGTATGATACTGCAAGTTCAGGTCCGGTTTTGCTTCACTTGCTCTGTCAACTTAGGATGACCTTGTGTGAGAAAATTTGAAACTTTTTTTGGGTTAGTTAGTCCTTAGTCGTTGCATTTCCGAGTGAATTGATGATTGCCAATATACTATAGAGTTTTGGATTGAAATTTAAAATCAGTTCAAGAGTTCGGAAATTATATTGTGGAAGATATTTCATTTTCTC